TTTTTTTTTTTAAATAAATCCTCCAGACACTTACGTAGCCCTAGAGGATGATCAAAATCACACTTTCATAATGTCTCTCTCTCTGCTCTTAATTAGTCTGCTTATGAAAAACTCTGAATGAATTTTGCTCTGATCTGAGCCAGTAGAGTGGGGGGGGGGGGGGTTGAGGCTGGCCAAAGCCCGGAACATGTGGTAGAGAAATGGAGGATGTGGAGCACTACATGATATAATGGCATTTAGATTACATTTGCTCGTTGTTCAAGAAAACACGAAGAGAAACCACTTCTCCCCTTTACTTAACTGCAAACAGTTTAATCAAACCCCCAACAAGTTCCCCCTGATTACTTTGGATAAAGCCGGACTGCCGCACAATGAGAGCTCCCTCGCTTTTTCTCTCCACGTGTAGTGAAGAATGAAAAACTTATCTGCGGACGCAAATGGACATTAGTAGAAAAGCGCGTTTCTGTTGCTGATAAAGACTTGGACTGAGACCAAGCCACCCAGATAGTCCTACCTCCGTCTTTATCTGTGCCTACAGGAGGAACCCTCACACCCCGAACCGGGGCCTACACCCTAACTAGAGTGACCGTCATGTCCCACCTAACCCGGACCCTCCTAAAGAACATGTCGAAGTTCACATACAGCATCCACAAACAAAGACCTAGTCACTCAATTGAATTACTGGCTCATTGTTAAAAATATTAGGACTCACAGTCCCTCTCCCTCTGTAGGTTTACAGTAACTGTGATAAATGAACCTGACCTTAGCGCAGTGGTGCAGTGGTAGCTGAAGACGTGAGCACACTGTGAATATTTCTATGTTAATGATTTGGTGTTGGAGCAGATACATTCATCAGTTGAGAACTCAATACCTGAAACAAAGCTGGCTATATTGTGTATATCCCGCACTACATGACTCTGATCTTGTTCAATTACTGCTTAACAAGCTTCTGCAGCAGTTTTGAGATTTGAATCCAATGAGTCCAGTTGGCTGGAGGACAAAGTCCCCATGGAAGATTTATTTTCCTCACAAAGTCAACCTGTTTTTAAAGGATGTAGACAAACTGTCAGGGATTAAAGACAAACTACAGCAAACTACTACCTGCTCCATCACAGTCCCGGCTATAATTTGATGCTGCGAGTTTGATATGCTGGTCTGTATGACACATCTAATAAAAAACACATCTCAGCTCTCCATATCCTGGAATCTAGCTGAGCGTATGGAAAAAAAGAAGAGTTTAATAAGTCAGATAACATGACATCAGCTGACATATCGTAGTATTAAATTCCAACCCACGAAACCATCACGCATAAATCCAAAGGCTATGAGATTCAGAGGACTTAAGAGATGATGAACATTAGATGTATTACCGCACTGTGAGATAAAGCTCCCAGCTTTTTAATAGAAGATGAAGAAATTCACTGGCCTACTGCTGGGTTCTTTTCATCAGGCGTGTATGACCGAGAAAGGCCAAAACTCACAACTAAATTCTGTGAAGTGGTGCAGACATGAAGAATATTTAGAGAAGTATGAGAAATATTGAGTGCTTCTAGGAAAGCATTTGTTTCTCTGCTGCTAAATCAAACTGATTCATGTTAAAAAAAATTACTCTGCTACAGTATGACTTATTGAACATGTTAAATTAATGCCATTTGTATTTGCAGTAAAAACAAAAACAGGATTGATGTGGATTTTTTCTGCAAAGTCCAATCGGGTGTAATAAGGGTGTGGGCAATTATTGGACAGAGGCGATCAGGTTGGCAACAGATAAGAAAAAAAGTCCCCCCCCCCAATGCTGTCTGGCCCACCCAGATGTCATCACAGTATGCTAATGAGCCGGGGGGCCTTTAAGTGCCGGAGCCCAGCAAGCAGAGTGGTTAGGAGCCTGTGGACCAGTCGTGGACACATAGCAGCCATAAAATATGAGCTTAAGAAGGCAAGTGTCAGCAAGCCACAAAAGATGCCCCCCGCATCCCCACTGCGTGCAAAAATGGTGAGTATGTAACACAGAGCGGAGGAGGCTCGGCAGCAGGTGACAGAGATGTTGACAGTGCAGGATTAACAATACTCTTTGTTTTACAGCACACATTATTAAGAAGGGCATTTTCTTCTGACTGGCATTTGAATACGTCTTTGTTTTTTTTTTATGTTTACCATATGATTAACATTTTCATTGGCCGACCTTCACTGTGTGCATCACTAATGAGTCGTCTGCCTTTGCCTTGCAGATTACAAGCACAGCGGGAGCTCGCTGCTTTCAGTTAATGTCTTGTGCCCTGGACAGGATATCATCTTATACTGTAAGTTTATTAAAGAGACACTACAGTATAGATGATGTACTATCCAGGGTTTCATTCCCCCTCCGGCACTATCAGCACAAACTCAGGCCTAACTGACTGCGGACCGCTGCACAGAGGAGGGCCGTCAAACCGTTACCATTACTGAGTTTTAGTAATGGTAAGGGTTATATGGCCCTTGCTCAATGTCATCAGGACCGGGAGGATGAACAAAGTTGGTGATTGATTTGTTATTCATGATATTTTGATTCGATTTTGGAGATGTAAAATAAAGAACATGGCTCCCAAACAAACGAGTCCCTCATTATTCAGGTATCAGCATTCTAAATATCTTGTGTTTGAAGGTTCACTTTAATGTGCTGGCAGACGTACATCAGCTGTAATATCTTCAAGCAGCAGTTGGCTTGTCTAAGTAGTGATCTCTGCTGCGCAACCGGCTTGTCTAATCACTGGGAAGCAGCCGTTGCAGAAAGCAGGGAGAGCTTGAGGGGCTGACACAGCTTCTGTGAGACATTCAAGGCCTCTCCCTCCCTCCCCTCCCCTCCCCCCTCCTGTCGCCCTTGCTTTAGGCCACTAGCTGGTTATTCATCAAGATGCCCCGGATAGAGTAACCGTCGAGTTAACTCACAGGCAGCAGGAATGAATCCAATCACCATTATCTGACCCATTTTAGCATCAGGTTAGTGCTCCATTTTGCCATCCATTAGGGAGACAATTCAGCCCTCGGGGGCAGAGCTGGGCTTTATAAGAGCCAAAAAAGCAAAGGGAGGGCGGGCAAGGAAGAGGAGGAGAGAGAAAAGGGGAAGAAAGCAGCAGAACAAAAAAAGTGATAGTCGCAGGGATGGATGGCCACACTTCAAAGCAGCGGAGAAGGCTAAAGTGATGTGGGAGTGGAGGGAACAAGGGTGGATGGTACATCAGGGACATTTGAGTGAACATGACTGTGCAGGTTCCGCTAGGCGCGAAAGGAGTGAGCGCCAAGTAAAAAGCTCTGAGAGCCAAAGATAAACCATCGGCCTTTTCACAGCTTGCCAAACCTGCTCAGCCATGAACACGCTGTCAAACTTGTGTCAAAACATGCATTTGGATCAGAGTCTGTGTCATGTTTGTTGCCTAAAATACATCATTGCTAAATAAATGCCAATAATTAATTACTTGTGTGAGCTGCTTTTAATAGACGTATTTCTTTCAAGTGGGAGCACCCCTCACAGTTTTCCACCACTATAATAACAGCAACTTATGCGTAACTTCTTCCCATCATTCATTATGTCTTATGAGACTGCATGAGAAGAGGTCGCTGAAGCATAAAGACAAAGGATGCAGTCAGAGTACAATGTCTTTCCCTCAGACAGGTAGCATCTCAGTGGGAGCTCTGGGACTGAGGATATATGCCACCTCACAGCTCCACATCTGACTCATGATGAGATATTATCCGGCGTCTGTCCTTTGAAGAGAAAAAGACAAGAAGAGCCATCTCAAATCCAGCAGGATCCACCTTCATCTATTCAGGATTTCACCACTGAAGTCATCCTATCCTCTTCACTTCCTCTGCTTGACTGAGAGCTTCAGCTTTACTTCCCTCAGGAAAACATGGCTCAGGTCCTCACCCGCCTCTTGGGCGATCCGCGCTACCATCTGGCCGGCTGTGCCAATCACCATCCTCTGCAGGCAATAAAATACAGAAATACAACACCAGTGAACAGACAACCACGTGTGTTTTATTCAGCAGAAGAAAAACTGTCCAATTTGAGAAATGTATGTTTAAAAGAAAAAAACTTAAACTAAAAAGGGTCCCTGTGGGAAATATTGTCAAGGTATTTGTAGCAAACAGCTATTACAAGGTTTTATAAGATTAAGATTGTGAATTGCATCTTTATTAGAGGATGATATCCACTATATCACCGCTCCCTGTCACCACAAATTACCTGTTAAAATACTTTATTAAAACTTTATTGTTTTAGAACTGTGTCATTATAGGTATATATTTGAGCAGAAAAATAACAATACCCTTCACTGACGCTTGTTTTTCATCCAAAAGATTGCATCTCTCATACCCAAAAAATGTAATTTCAGATTTAGTCAAAGAACTTGAACAAGATAGCTTTTTTTATATATCAATATATTTAGGGATTTTTGACAGCTGAAGATTGACTGGAAAGGGGGTAGAGAGGGGGGATGACACGCAGCAAAGGGCCACAGGTTAAACTTCGAATCCATGGCTGCCGTTAGGACTCAGCCTTGGTACATGGGGCGTCAGCTCTACCAGGTGACCCCGACAAGATAGCTTTGTACCTAGAACTATTAATAAAATAGATGAGACTGGATTCCTTTGGTCAGTGCCTGTGCTGTACCCGATCCACATGTTTGTTGTCGTCCCTGTGTTCAATGTAAAAGCTAAAGAACAGCGTTGGTCCGAGTTTCTCTTCTTGGATGGAGGTCATTGGTCTGAAACATTTCAGCACCACAGATGTAGCTTCAAATATCGTGCCATTAATTATGCATGATTCAGAAAGGCTGCTCAAATATTTACAAGTTAAAAACACAAGGAAAAAGGAATCTGGAGGTATGAGGGAACGGCAAATAAGAAGCCATTAGAGAGGCCACAGGTGTCAGTAATGGAGGGAAAGATTTCACTTCCTCCAGTCACATCACAACAGAGATATTTCAAACTGGTATTTTTTACACAGTTGTTTGTTGGTGCTACATTCACACTACATATATTTATTGTAAAAAAGAACTGCCAAACAGGAGAAAACATTCATTTGAGTGTCCTGATTTGTTATAACAAAAAGGCTATGTGGGACTTTTTGCAGGTTTTGATACCTGTCACTTGATTTTTTTTTAAATTGTGTTTATAACAGGGACCACACAAGCTCTTTCACCTTTATTGTACTGAAATCCAATCCCATTCTGTCAATTCTCCCAGTATGATGTGCTAAATTAACCCAGATTACACAATAGAAAGTACTTTATTAATCTGACTGAAATTACAAAACACCAAATCACAGGAGTTAGGTATGAAACAAATAAAATAAAAAGTATGCTAAACTAACTGGCCCAAAAGATACTATACGAGACACACAACAAGCCATACATGTGTAGAGAGCACTTACCATGTGAGTTTCTTTCTTGACATAAAGTTTCACAGAAATTTGGAGCTCATGATTTTCTCCAACATGCCAGAGTTCAATAGACTGAAAACAGAGACATTTAAAATGTTAACAATGTGCTCATGAAGTCCATAAAATGGAGGTCAACGTTGGAACAGAAGATGTCAGCTGCTGGATTCAAGCAGTGGCCATTACAACATATCCCAGAATTATTTGCATGTGTGTTAAAGATGTCCTACAGATGAGCCAGTCTAGTCTCACATATGTTATGTTTGTCAGAAACACATAAATGTTTGTGGTGTGATTCTACACATAAATAACATCCAGAGAACGATGAAAATAATGCCAGAAAGGACAAGACAAAATGGCCCCTCAGGACTGCACAGGAAAAGTAGGTGGAGGCTGGGGCCACAATGAGCCTGCAGAGTGAAAGTAAGTCTGAATGACTTTAAATAAATAGACTCAGTGCAGTGAGATGTCGCTGGTTTAACTCAGTTAGCTGGTTCATTATTCACCTGTGTAATTGAATAGGGCAATTCCAAGGGCAGATACTCCAGAAGCTTCTCTCTGATGATGTTGGTGCAGACTTCCTCTGGACTCTGGTCAGTCAGGACCTCACTATGGTACTGCCACGATCCTGGCTTGGCTGCAACCATAAAGTAGGTCTACCACAATGAGATAAAAGCATGGTTATTATCATCAAATTAAACAAAAACTAATTGATACAACAATAAAATTAGATATTAGAAACTAATACTAAAGTAAAGCGGCCTTTTAAAACTAACAAATACTTTCTACTTTCTAATTTCTGCTTTCAGTATGGGTCATTTATAGGTATAAGGATATAAGATTTGAACAAAAACATGCATTCTATAGACTCTATTTCATGCTATGACCATAATCTAACGTGTACCTTCAGTGTTTCCACGTCCTCTCTATCCACAGAAGAGAGCATGAAGATGTCCTTGAAGTGAGGCCAGCCCTGTTGGCCCCTCAGCGCCTTCAGCTGCTCTTTGCTCAGTGGAGAGTTTGGCTCAGCTTTGTCCTCAGGCTCTACGCTGTCCTCGTCAAGCGGCAACTCTGAAGCCCTCTCTGGCCTCTTTTCAGCCCGTGGAGGCTTGATCACTGGCCTGACCTGCATTCTGCATCCGTTCACCACTCCACAGGTCAACTGTGCTGTGATATGCAGCAGCCTGTCTTTAGCCTGAACCAGGTCTACCTAAAAACAGAAGAGCATCCAGGAAAATCTAGTGATATTCTATATTTATTTTTATTGTCAACTAATCCCATGGAAAGACCAAAACTAACAATAAACTGATCCCACTAATAAGTATTGTTTGTGTAGTCACACCTGATATATCTTACTCCCCTGTACCACAGAGCTCCATTGTTTTCTAAAAACTATTAAAAATACATCAATGAGCTAGAGTGTTGCACTGGGTGACATATTCTTTCATTACCATGAACACACACACACACTTTAGTTTATTTTGACTCGATTTCAAATACAGCGTCCTGCTGCTGTAAATACTCACTGGAGCAGCAAATGTGGATTAATCCTCATCTAAAAATAGTCCAAAACAAACGCGTTATTTAATCCTGTTTGAATCAAGTTTGCTGAAAGATACAGCCCAGTTGATTTAGGAAATTATTTTGCCTTTTACAAAAACAAAACTATATATCCATGACCTGTTTATAAAGAATTACATCTTTAGTAGTTTCAAATGGGTTTGGAGTTGAGTGCTATAGAAAGGATCAGGAAGTCAGAAAGTACAGAGAGACAGACTTTCATGTGATTTGTCAAGTGTAACAAAAATATTGAATATCGGTAGCCTTATGCTTCAGTCCTTTAACTGCAGTTTATTCTGGGGAAGAATACCTTATTGAGAACCAGAACTGCGGGGATGTCAGGGTGCTGAGCTAGGCACTTGAGCACCTCCAAGTCAAGACTCTTGCACATCCATCTCTCTGACACATCCACCATGACGACCACTGAGAAGGGACACAGTTCCAGAAACTCAGCATTATATTTCACTCTAGCCATTAAATCAAAAAGAGTCAATTCAGAGCCAATTTACAGTATATCATACTTATATCAGCTTCCTTGACTGTGTTCCAGGGATCCACAAGCAAAGACTTCTCCAGCTGGTGTCTGTGGAAACAGAAGGCCCATTCATATATTACACTGTATAATAATGCTGCTCGTAGACTACAGAAAAATACCAAAAATATAAAAAAGAAAGTCACCTTTTGACCTTTGATTGAGTGGTAAGACCAGGAGTGTCCAGTAAAATCTACAAAACATAAACATCGATGTATTGACGATTTGGCTTTTCAATGGTTATTTCAATGATGACAAAAGAGGAAGGAAAAGCTCTCACTATCTGAGTATCATTCTCTGTCAAGACGCCGAGGGCACGAGACCTTGTAGTGTGTACTTTCTTGGACACAGCAAACACCTTTAAGAAACAATCATTGACATTACAAAGTGAGTACCACCTCCTCCTCCTCCTCCTCCTCCTCAGTAAGACATTACAGCATGCAGGAAGACAGTTAAGGCGGAGACCTTTCTGCCGAGGAGCTGATTGGTCAGTGTGGACTTCCCGGCATTTGGGGCACCTATTATGGCCACTTTCAAAACCTTTGAATTGTCAGGCTGATCTGGATGTTGCAGTAACAGAGATAACTGTTCACCTGAAAACACACAAACAAAATGAACACAATACAAGTAAATATGACAGCAGTATGAACAGGAAACGTCAGATTGGTGATAGGATGAGGTGGGCAGAATGTGGAAAAAGGCTGTGATCAGATAAGTTTAGGGACGTAAATCTCTGAGGCAGTGGTCTGATTACCGCTGTCCGGCAGAACTGAGGCTGGAAGGCGATAAAAGCTGCCGTCTGCCTCTGCTGTTTTGCCTTTCATCAGTCTGCTGAGAAATGCCTCTGATGTAATAAAACAAGCAGGGGTGAAGATAAATCCGTTCCTCCGTCCTCGGCTGCAGCCAGCGTTTCCTGTAAAGACATCAACATCTCCATCACTTCGCTGGAAGCACGGCTGTAAAGTAACTGACTAATTCTGCTTCCTTGGATGTTAATATGACACAGTATACCAGTAATAATGCATTCACATGGTCCTCCCCATAAACTCATTCATAAAACTAATCACACCTCTGATGATTGTGGACAGTAAGGAGTCCTTTGGGAACCACAAAAACTTTACTGTAAATGCTTTACACGGTTTTACACAGCAAATGACATCTAGATCTATAAAGTATTTTCTATTGTTATTAGTAACTATAGATAAAATGAGCACTGAACTGACTGATCTATTCCTCTATTTTATATTATTGTAAACTGCATACAAAGTAAATATTGTTAAAGGTTTGATTTACTCTTTAAGTCGGCTGCAAATAACAATTCTTTTCCTTATCAATTAATATATTGATCATTTTCTTGATTAACTGATTAGTTGTTTGGTCCATAAGGATGCCCACAAAGATATTCAGTGCAGTGTCACAGAGGACTAAAGAAACCAGAAAATATTTCTTATTAATAATTATATTTAATATTTAAGAAGCTGAAATCAGAGAATTTGGAATTTTTTTCTTCTCATTTATCAAAATAGTTAATTAATTTAATAGCTGACACCTAATTGTTGAATCGCGTACTTGTTGCACCTCTATCTTAACTTAAAGACATGACCTTTATGGGCGGCTGTGAAACCCTCTCTAGAGCTAGTAGTTTGTGTGTCTGTTCTGGGTAGTAAAAGAGGACCCGCTCCCTCTGTAGATAAAAACGTATTCTAAGGTAACGAAAACAATTCTTATTTCCAGCTGATTATACACTAATGAAAACATACCTATGAATATTATATTCCATATTCTGCCAATAGCTCCAATAGATCATCCTAAATGCTACACACTGGACCTTAAAGACACATAAAAATACTCTGCCTTAAAAGGAGAGAGAGAGGGAATGTTTTCTGAAAATGGAGAGAAAATGGTTAAATAAATGACTTGTGTTTATACTTGTGTGTGTGTGTGTGTGTGAGTGAGTGAGTGAGTGACACACACACAAGGGTCAGGCTGAAGCTTGCACATGTGGGGAGCTCAAATGTGTAAATGTACCTTTCTCAACTGTTTACCGCCATATGTTGCCATTACCTGTCATTTAGTCTGTCTGTGGCCTGTCTGTCATTCCACACACAGTCTCAGATGACACGGGCGAGCTTAAAAGCAGCATAACACCATTTTTATCAGCAAACAGAGGTGTGTGTGTGTGTGTGTGTGTGTGTGTGTGTGTCAGAGGGCTCGGAGGTGCCCTGATTTACGGCTCTGCTCCATCACTGTACGCCACTGAGTTTCTCCAAATGTTGTACCTATCCCATGATTTACAACCCAATATGTCTCCTTGCTTACAAAACCACAACAATATGAGAAACATGTAAGTGACTGACCCGCTGTGAGACACCATGACGCACTTTCCTGTCGGGCAGACACGGTGACCCGTCCGGAGAGGACGGCGGAGTCTCTGAGAAACCGAGCGCACACTCTCAGCGCCATTGAGCTTCAGCAGCTGCTACTGGTGTTCCTCTGCGGGGGGACCGTGTTTATCGAGTTAGAGGAGAGCCGCTTGTTTATGTTCACATTGTCTACAGGGTGACACCATGTTGCTTTTACCAAAGAGAAACGTCTTCCGCTCTCAGGAGTGTCCTCGCAGACGGTTGGGTGGGAGCTGCACCGCCCCCTAGCGGCCAATGTGTAAACTACAACATGTTTCATCTACAAATAAGACTTCAGATTAGTCTAAAAGTGGCGCACTCAAATATCAGATTGACCCCTGGTTAAATAGGTTTTGTCAGAAGTGTCTCTTGAATATATGTCTTGACTATGTTGTTTTATTTACATGTTGATATTTGCCTTAACTCCCATCTAGAGTGAGTCAACAGAGACGGCACAAGTAAAATAACCTTCAGTTACTGAATCAGAAAGATCAGAGTCTAACTGACCACAGAATGAGTGCATGAGAGCAAAACAACAAGGAAGGAAATCAAATGAGAACTAAGAATACAATAGAAGATTAAAGTCAGAGGAACTAAAGTTAGTATGGAAAAAAAATCATTCACATGGACTGAAGCTGTTCTCGTTCTTGAAACTACTTTGACATGTAAAATAATGACATGGTTATTTTACATATACATGTTCATTAATGTGTAGAATAAAAAAAATTATGTATAAGTCATGTATAATTTTGCAGCAAACCCTGTGTAACTCCCAGAGGACTCCTGGGGCCCCTGTTTGGGAGCCACCTGTCTGCAGGATATTCAGAGGCTAAAATGAGCCAGTGGCAATTTTAAATCAGCTCATCACAATGCACAAACACATCTGCCGACATGAGCAACTCACAGTTTAAAATGGATGACAGCGCTCAAAGGATCTTTTGGCTCGGGTGATATTATCTAGATTACTTTGTGAAGGATGGTGAGCCTATAACCACAAATCAGATTGCACCGTGCAGACCTTTTCCTTCCCTCTTGTCCCTCTCGAGTACACAAAACAGAGCTTATCCCCAAGGGTTCTTGAAGCACAGTTGTGACAATGTTGTTGAGGATATATCGAGCATTCATGCTTAAAGCAATATCCCAACCTGAGGAAAAACACTGCTCGCATGCTCACACCCTGTAACTCTTCAGTACTAATTCACAATGACAAGCTGATATAATGACTTGATAACCATGAAGTCTGTAAGGTTAATCATCAGACTAAAAGGACACAGTTTGCATATTGATTGATTACTGTAACATGTTGTTTTCATTCTGTATATGGCGAAGCCAAGCAGAGCAGCTGTCTCCCCATAGTCCATCAAACACGCCGGCTGTTTGTTAGTCCTGGAGGACTTGCTTGGGGCGGAACAAACACCTCCACTGGGGAGGATGATGAAGGATATCAGGTAGCTCACAATCTGTCATCATCTAACTCTAAAAGCTCAGCAGCAATGGAAGGGCAACAAAAATGGAGCTTTTAGCAGACACTTACTGCCGAATTCCAATTGAACCAGAAACCAAAAGGATATTTGAGGATCAGTAATGTTTGAACTTTCTCTCTATCTGCCTCCCTCCCACTCTCTCTCTCTCTCCCTCTCAAATTCATTCAAGGCCTTTTCTCCCTCCGGGCTTTCCTCACATGGCCATTTCACGTGGGAGTGTATCAGAGTTCTTTCTATGACTGCATTAACTTTGGCCTTCAGAAAGAGCTCTCTCTCTAAAAAAAAAAAGACAAAAAGGCTTCGCCTGCAGACCATTTAATCATAAGCTGTAGCCCACTTTGCCACTTGAAGTGCACTTGCCAATGAGATTCAGCATGGTGTGATGGAAAACCTCCCTCTGCTGCTGCAATCCAGTCTGCTCTTGATTCCTAATCAATCTTGTTTTCTGTAATTCACAGAAGACTTTGTATTGATAGGGAATAGGTCAAATCTCCCTGAATTTGCAGATTTTTTTCTGCAGCCGAACCAGGTGATGCCAGACTTTCTGCAGGTTTTGCTCTGGTAACCTCCCTTGTTGATTTACTAATATCACTAGCTGGGATTAGACATGCAATAACTGGCAGCTTCTGCACTAATAGGAAGGACCTGGCTGCTCATGAGGAATAACAAAGTTCATGGAATAATAAGCACGAGCCATGGGGCATGTCAACAGGGAGCAGAGGTGGGAAAAAACAATCTGTCAGTTCGTCAGAGCATCCATCACTCCATCACCGCTGATTGCAGTGAGAGGCGTGATGCTGCACAGCTGGCTGATTGTCTATAAAACAGCCGCTCCTGAACTTTTTCACGCTGAGGACTCCAACACAGACAGGCTATTTGTACAGGATCCCGCAGATTAATGAATGGATGGATGAATTTCCACATTTGATAAATGAGAAAGCAGTGAGTTTTAGCTGTTGCATCTCATGTGACGCCCTGAAGGTCCCCCAAGGTCCCTCCATCCAGCAATCACTGCACCATGCGTCCTTGCTCAGACTGCTTTTTAAAAGAGGTGATTTAGCTCCCAAACTACCCACACAGGTCACACTGATGCTCTGATTGTACAATCTCTCTCTCAGTGGGGGAGATAAAGGGGGGAAAAAAACTTTTATTCATTCTAGACTTGCAATCGATGTGACTTGTCTGTGAAGTGGATCAATAATGCCTCTCTTTGAAATCATCAATCACGTCAGTGGTGAATTTAAAAAGCGTAATTAGAAACAGCGTTCTTAAACATCCTGTATTGACGTCTTCTTTGGTATGGAGAAAGACACCATTCTGCATCATTAACTTTGTATTATTGCCTGATGGAGCCTGCTGCTGCTACTTCCCCACCTGCTGAACTCGGAGCGGTGTGTGTGATTGGGCTTTCAGACCAAATTCTCCCCTCTTTCACTTGCTGATGGGGGAAGTGAAGCTTGCAGGCCTAAATTGGCTGGAGTATTGTAATAAGCCCAGTCTGTAGGCTACTGGAACCCAAGCCGTGGACTTATCCCTCACAATGCTTTCAGAAATGTTTGTGGAGTAGAACGTGTGTAATTTTCTCTCTAATCATCTCATTTGATTACTTTTGTGCAGGTGCTAACCTGACATGACATTACAAGGCCACGAGCACACATTGTCCAGCATTCCCATAACTTGCCACAATCTTCCCTGTTGTCCATCTGTCTCTCTCTGGTAATAAAACGGTATCAATACTGTGGAGAGGGCAGGTGGGCGCTTGTAATAGAGTAATTTATTTTAGTTGTCACAGAAATATAAGTCTTTGATTAGGGAGCTATACACATCAGGCTACACAAATAGAACCTTTCATCAAATCACAAAGCATGTGACACTATTGACCGTCAAGTCTTCTGACTGGGTTTTATCTTCCTCAGCAAAATTCATTATACAACATGTGAAGAGCACAATGATGCAAAGTGCAAGGGTAAGACAGCTCAAGACAAATCTCGTGTCAGTCTACCTGATGAGTATTATATTTGGGCTGGTTAAATACATGAAAAAGCTGTATTTTTCGAAGGTAAAAGAAAGATTATTATTATTATTATTATTATTATTATTATTATTATTATATTATTTTAGAGTGTGGGAACCTAAAGGGTCTGTTTACCCAGAAAACATATATAACCATATACACCTAGTGGTATATAGCCACACAGATGCAGAGGTTTAAAAAAACATCACCCCAATACAATAAATTCATTTTGTTTGTGGTATTGTAGTTATGACATAGTCATTTGGGTGAATTAGGATTCTGGTGTACAGACAACATTTTGCTTGAGGCTCAAAGAGTAATAAACAGACATGTGATCGTTTTAAATATTACTTTTGGAACGACAAGCCCCCAAAAAATCAAAGGAAAAACCTGAATAAATTAGTGTAATGAATGCAGGTGCTTTCACATAGGGCACAATGGCTCACTGACTAGTTTGATGAGTATGAAAATGTGATATGGCATTTACAGTCACCAGACCTCAACACGACTGAACACCTATGAGAGATTTTAGTTTTTAGTGAAATGCTCTCCACTATCATCGTTGTCAAAACTCCATTCATCAATCATCTTTAGGAGCACTGAAGCTGCTCTGGAGGCTGGTGGTGCCCTGGACATAATAACACACTTCTAGCTGTTTTTTTGTTTTTTTGTTTTTTGTATGTCGACACATTATTGTTACTAATTAAAATGCTATGTCATTACTTTATTACAGCCCCCAAATCACCATTCACTCTCATCTCCAAAGGTTGGGATGATTTCCTCTTCTGTGCACTAATGCATCATATTATATAAACTGATTACATGTTTTTGGTATGCAAAATCTCAATCATCAAAGCAACTAGTGACGATAGCTGTCAAATAAGTGTAGTGGAGTAAAAAGTACAATATTCCCCTCTGAAATATAGTCGAGTAGAAGTAGAATAAAACAGAAATACTCAATTTAAGTGTCTTGTACAGTACAGTATTTAACTTTAAATGTTTAGTTACTCTACACCACTGGTCGCATCATATGCACAGTTAACTGAGCAACATAAAACCCCATGAAATTATTATTATTACTATTATTTTACATATTAATACTTCTGCCTACAGAGTTTGCTAACCAACCTGTACATGTATGTTGATATTGTACAGCTTGCACAGTAATTAAACATCTAGTTTGTGCTCTTTCACTCATTTCACCTTCCAGTTGGCAAACAAAATAAATGTGTAGCCGTCCAATTGAATTTCACCCCCACTGTACCTTTAAACCACTCGGCTGCCCTGCGCAGCGCACCGTGCTGTCTGGAACCGTCCCAGTTATTGCGCATGCGCCGGAAGTAGCTGCCGCAGACAGCAGCAGTGATTCGGCAGCGCAGGGCAACGGGAGAAAATCTGTCCGTTTTAAACCATGGCGACGTACTAAACGATGCCTTCCGCAGAGGTAAACGGAGAGTAAGTAGTTGTATCTTAATAACACGCCTGCTGCCCGATACTGGGTGACATCCTCTATAATTGTGGCATTAATATTATAGGACAGCTTGAGAAGGCAACAATGGGACTGTGTATGTTTCAGACTGATGGCTAGGTTAGCTAGCCAGGAGCCTGGGCAGTCAGCTGGCACACTGACTGGCAACATGCAGGGTTGTAGCAGCTGTACTGCTCCTCTGTACTGTGTGTCCGTCTACTGTAAACCCTTACGGCTTCACTCTGT